ATGAGGTTGGCTTGGGCCCACCTCTCCAGCCTGTCCAGGTCCCTCTGGATGGCATCCCTCCCCTCCAGTGTGTCTGCCTCGCCAAACAGCTTGGTATCATTGGCAAACTTGCTGAGGGTGCACTCGACCCCACTGTCCATGTCCGCGACAAAGATGTTGAACAGTACAGGTCCCAGTACTGACCCCTGAGGAATGCCACTCACTACTGCTCTCCACTTGGACATTGAACCGTTGACTGCAAGTCTTTGAGTGCAACCATCAAGCGAGTTCTTTATCCACTGAGTGGTCCATTTGTCAAATCCCTGTCTCTTCAATTTAGAGACCAGGATATCATGTGGGATGGTGTCAAACGCTTTGCAAATATGATGGCCAGTGGTTTAGCGACTTCATCTGCCAGTTCCCTCAGGACCCGTGGATGTATCTCATCAAGATACCCACAGCATATGCGCCATGAGGCAGGGAGATCTCCTGTTGACAGTTTGAGCAGCTGTAGCAGTTCATATGATGGAAGTGACCGAGAAGATCACCGGAACAAATTCCACTCCCGCATTGGACTCACCAGACTTTCATTGGATGAATGAGAAAGCCCCTCTATCAAGTGCATGCGGCGCTCTGAAGGATGGGCAACACAATAACCTTATTACTTTTATATTTTTTGCAGTGCATGTGTGCTATACCTTAATGGGGGAGGGAGGTCAATATGCATTATGTGCTGTGTGGGGGGAAAAAAAAGTCAAGTACTCCGTTTTGTAAAAGTACTTTTGAATTGCCTCAGTGATACAGTATAAGGATAAACAGAAATGCTGAGATAAGCTTAGCACTTCAGTTGTACAACAGAACACTTGTATAAAATAGATTTTAAGGCTAACTTCTTTTCACTGTTGTGCTCCCTTGCAAAATGTATGTTACAATAGGTAGTGTCATGTTGCAGGTTCAACATTATTTACATGTAAATAGACAAAAGGAAAACATTTGCCAGAAGTGGCAGATCTTTACTGAGAGAGAAAGCAGCTGTTATGCAACATATAGAAATTGTACAGGTGTTTTGACTGACCCAGGAGCTGGGTGGCCATGAATTAATGCTACGAAGAGACTCAGTCACCTAACATACCTAAAATGATCACAAACATACAGGCATATCATTAGAGTATGACCCTCAGTTAAAAAGGATCAAAGACATTTAAAGAGGACCATACTTGTAAAAATGCTGAGTTTGAGGGCAAGCATATTTATTTTTTAAAATTCTGGCTCTGCCTCACTTCTTAAATAAAAAATATAAGTATATGTACATTAGATTGTGCTTATTTTCATATTAAAAAGTAATACAGTTTGCAAAGCATTTGTGACACTTTTTTCCTTAAGCCAAAATGTATTCTTTTTTCTTTGATAGTTTTGCTAATCTTTTTAACAATCCTGAAGAAAACAGAGGACTTTTTGTTTAGAAAGCACTTTGCTAAGCCATGAAGAATTCGATGCTTTGCTAACCAAGATAACTGTTTTCTCTTTGCAGAAGTTTTTTGGCTTTAAATGTGTATTTCTAATTATATAAAATATTAAGAATCTTTTAAAAAAATCTGTGAAATTGACATGCTTGTGTATAACTTTCTAATATGTATCATAATTATGGTAATAGCAAATTTTTTTGTTATCTTAATAGAGGGAGAATTATATTTGTGCAGTTGCACATTTAACTTTTTTCTTTCATTTTTCTTTTACTGGGCACACATTTTACATATCCAAGTCATCTGATGAAAGAGAGATCAGTAAAAAGTTAGAATTAGAATTAGGTGTAACAGCCTAAATCAATTTAATGCAACATTTTACCAGTTGGGTGAACTGTGATCACCTGTATATACTGATTAGTTCTTTCATGCTGTTTTGTCCATTGTAACAGGTTAAGGGCCCTTCTATTACTTACATACTGTGTATATTGTAGTTTTCCATGGGTAAAATGACAAAATGGCATAACTTAGCCCTTTCTCATAAACGAAGCAGATATTCTGCCTGTTAGAACTGGATGTACAGCTCTAACGGCTGTCAGTTATGTGAGTGCAGGTGAACATTTCCATAAGTGGTAGACAGAGTAAAAAGTGAAGGATTGGCACAAACACACCTATTATATAGATAACTCCCTTCTCTCACAGATTTAAAAATTTTAGAGAGATTATCAATTAAAGGACCATTCAAAAGTCAATTTATCTAACACAATCAATATTGGTCATTACATCATCATTGTTTTCATAGACCTCTGTGGTCACATTATCTCACAGTGGGAATGTCATTGAACAACACTCCCTGTGTATTTACACCCTAATGTTTGCTTCAGTATATGGCATCTGCATTTTCTTCTGCCTCATATTTTTCCTTTGACTACAATAGCCTGACCAGTTCCTTTTTGTCCCTATTGTTTATTAGAAAAAAGATGTTATATTAAATTGCAGACCCAAGGCTTTACATGTTCCATTAATGTTCCCATCTACGCATACTCTGGTTTCCTGGAGTCCCTGGTTTTGGGAATCTCAGACTGCTTAGCCATAGCAAACTTGGGCTACATTTATTTTGTATTTGTGTGCTGCATTTAATATTTTGCATTGAGTGTTCAGAGTGCCTGCAGTAGGTAAAGGTAAATCTGCGGTTCATGTAAACATGTCCAAGGTAACTGGAATTGTTGTTAGCAGGTATTACTGCTAACACCATAGCCAGAGTAGCATGGCATTCTGTACTATCTGAGTATCTCTTCATCTAATTCCAGCAGATTTCGGACCATGCATTGAGGTCATGCGTTGTGCCTCAGCTTAATGGCTACAGATAGTTCAAAGCTAACACTGGGATGCCTGTGTGAATGATTAATTTGAAATGAGTACATTGCTTCCAAAACCTGTAAAGTGATCTGTTATAATTTTCTTCTTTGTTCTGTCTTTGTGCTTCTCTCTGTGACTCATTCATATCCTGTCTAGTGCTTTCAATGTCAAGTATTTGTTCTTTCTTGTCTGGACAATGACTTATAAGTTCTTTTAGAATAGACTATATATTGCCTCATTTTGGGGTTGGTTTTTTTAATCACCGTTAGCTATAAAGGTTGCACTTTTTTGCCTGGAGAGAAGTGATGTAATAGAACCTTTCACTGGAAGGGGATGAAACTTAAAGGTAATATATTTGCATGATAAACAGAGTTGATGTAAAACAATCTTGCTATGGCAGTACCATTTTCTGTATTTAGGAGAGCTGCTTGGGATAGGTCATGTAGTCTCACAGTAAAAATACAGCATCCTAGAATAAGTATATGTGAAGGTGTGTGTAATGGGCTTGTGTGGCAAGGTTTTGGTAGCCAAGGGGGCTACAGGAGTGGCTTCTGTGAGAAGTTGCTAGAAGCTTCCCACATGTCTGATAGAGCCAATGCCAGCTGGCTCCAAGACGGACCCATGCTGGCCAAAGCTGAGCCAATCAGCAACAGTGGTAGTGCCTCTATGATAAAATATTTAAGAAGGGGGGGAAAAACTGATGCACAACAGCAGCCAGAAGAGAGGAGTGAGAATATGTGAGAAAAACAACTCTGTAGACACCAAGGTAAGTGAAGAAGGAGAGGGAGGAGGTGCTCCAGGCACTGGAGCAGAGATTCCCCTGCAGTCCATGGTGAAGACCATGGTGAGGCAGGTTGTCCCCCTGCAGCCCATGGAGGACCCCACGCAGGAGCAGGTGGATGCGCCTGAAGGAGGCTGTGCCTCCGTGGAGAGCCCATGCTGGAGAAGGCTCCTGGCAGGATCTGTGGACCCATGGAGAGAGGACCCCTGTCCTGGTTTCAGCTGGGATAGAGCTAATTTTCTTCTTAGCAGCTAGTTTTGGATTTAATATGAGAATAATATTGATAACACATTGATGTTTTAGTTGTTGCTAAGCAGTGCTTACACTAAGTCAAGGACTTTTCAGCTTCTCATGCCCTGCTAGTGAAAAGGCTGGAGGTGCACAAGAAGGTGGGAGGGAGCACAGCCAGGACAGCTGACCCAAACTGGCCAAAGGGATATTCCATACCATATGACATCATGCTCAGCATATAAACTGTGGGCAGTGGCAGTGGGCCAGGCTGCCACTGCTGGGGAACAGGCTGGGCATTGGTCAGTTGGTGGTGAGCAATTGTTTTTCATTTGCATCACTCATCTTCCTTGCATTTTATTTCTCTCTCATTTTTTACTTTCCTTTTCATTACAATTTTCATTATTATTTTTATTATTAATTTTATTTTAATTTAGTTAAACTGTTTTTATCTCAACCCACAAGATGTCTCACATTTATTCTTCCAATATTCTCCCCCATTCCACCGAGGGGTAGAAGCGGGGAGTGAACGAGCAGCTGTGTGGTGCTTAGTTGATGTCTGGGGTTAAACCACAACAAGCCCATGCTGGAGCAGGTTTGCTGGCAGGACTTAAGACCCCGTGGGGAACCCACACTGGAGCAGTCTGTTCCTGAAGGACCGCACCCCATGGAAAGCATGCATGCTGGAGAAGTTTGTGAAGAACTGCAGCCCGTGCGAAGGACCCATGTTGGAGCAGTTCATTGAGGACTATTTCCCATGGGAGGGACCCCACACTGGAGTAGGAGAAGAGTGTGAAGAGGAAGGAGCGGCAGAGACAACATGTAATAAATTTCCTGCAACCCCCATTCCCCATCCCCCTGCACCACTCAGGAAGAGGAGGTAGAGAAATCAGGAGTGAAGTTGAGCCCAGGAAGAAGGGAGGGCTGCAGGGAAAGTAGTATTATGATTTGGGAAGGTGTTTTAAGATTTGGTTTTATTTCTCATTACCCTACTCTGACTTTTGATTGGCAATAAATTAAATTAATTTCCCCAAGTTAAGTCTGTTTTGCCTGTGATGGTAATCGCTGAGTGATCTCCCTATCCTTATCACAACCTGCAAGCCTTTCATCTTATTTTTCTTCCCCTGTTCAGCTGAGAAGGGGAAGTGATAGAACGGTTTGGTGGGCACCTGGCATCCAGCCATGGTCAACCCACCACAGTGTGTTGCATCACCAAAACTTAAAGGAGGAAACTAGAAAAAAGCATCTAGAATCTAGACTACAAATGGTTGACAAGTCAAGGTGCAGCAATCAGCCCACCAAAATGACCAGTAGAAATGCAACTGATTGCTTTTCACAGAATCACAGAATCATTTAAGTTGAAAGGGACCTCTTCAAATTATCTAGTCTAACCCCTCTGCTCAAGCAAAGCCACCTAGAGCCAGTTGCCCAGGACCGTGTCCAGACGGCTTCTGAATATCTCCAAGGATGAAGACTCCACAACCTCTCTGGGCAACTGTGAGAAGCAAAAAAGGTGACCTGGTTAGAAGGGAAAAATTACTGAACAGAAGAAAATGCCTGCTGAAAAATTCTGACAGAGAAAATAACTTCCAGTCTGGGAACTGTTAGCCTGGGAACTAGAAGCATCCTTGAAAAGTGCAGCTGGCATCTTTGAAGTACAGCTGGGTACCTAGAAACTGGATACATCCAGAGATACCATCGTTAAGCACAAAAATAAGGAACTGTAACTGCAACTTATCTGAAAGGTGGAAAACAGTGTGGTGGGTTGATCTTGGCTGGCTGCCAGGTGCCCACCAAGCTGTTCTATCACTCCCCCTCTTCAGCT